ATAAATATTATAATGGATAGTTATAATGGAAAAGCATATTTTTACTTTCATGAAAAAAATGACTCTGAAAGTTCTTTTCTCTATTTTTTGGGTTTTTTTTTTTTTTTTTTTGGAGATGAGACTTGTTCTGTTGCTCAGGCTGGAATGCAGCAGTGCAATCTCAGCTCACTGCAATCACCACCTCCTGGGTTCAAGTGATCTCCTCCCTCAACCTCCTAAGAAGCTGAGATTACAGGCCTACGCCACCATGCCAGACTAATTTTTGTAGGGACGGGGTTTCACCATGTTGGCCAGGCTGGTCTCGAACTCCTGACCTCAAGTGATCTGCCTATCTAGGTCTCCCAAAGTGCTGGGATTACAGGCGTGAGCCACTGTGCCTGGCCTTTCTCCATTTTCAACTTAAATCCACTTGGCCCAAGATACTTTCTTTCTTTTTTTTTTTTTTTTTTTTTTTTTGTGAGATGGAGTCTCTCTCTGTTGCACAGGCTGGAGTGCAGTGGTGCAATCTCAGCTCATTGCAACCTCCACCTTCTGGGTTCAAGCAATTCTCCTGCCTCAGCCTCCCAAGTAGGTGGGATCACCACCATACCTGGTGTGCACCACCATACCTGGGCTACGTTTTGTATTTTAGTAGAGACAGGGTTTCACCATGTTGGCCATGCTGGTCTTGAACTCCTGACCACAGGTGATCCACCCACCTTGGCCTCCCAAAGTGCTGGGATTACAGGCATGAACCAATGCACCTGGCCAGGCTCAAGATACTATTTACGGCAGAACTAAAAGAATGCTTTCTGATTTTATTTGCCTATTAATATATGCATTTGATAATGAAGAATGTGATAAGTAGTCAGAGCGAACAATTATTTTCTCGTGTCTAACCCTCCATATGAGCTAAATGAGAGGGAAGGCACTTATTGCACATTAAAAAATGGTAACTAGTTTTAAAAGGCTCTGTTTAATCTCAAACCACAATATTCAAAATATTCCTTTCACTGGTTCAATTAAAACCCCAGAAAACAATCCAAGACTTCAGAACAAATTATAAATTCTGCTTGAGTTGCACTGTATATAAAATTCACATTTAAAAAGTTTGCCAATTCACATTTACAAAGTCTTGACCAACTTGCAGGGTTGATTATAAAACTCGTATCTTTTAACTTACAATTTTTAATGTATGCTTGGTATACGTTACTTAAAAAGCAATGTAATTGCATGAAAATCTTTTTAAATCTGATTTTGAAATACGACTGAATACGTTAACAGAATTCAGAACAAGTTGATAAACATCTATAAAAACATGTTATATAATTCTAGTGAGCCCCATAATATTCTGTTTTTAAACAGAAGAAACCATTGAACAGAAATATTTTAAATCTTTTCTTCTGTTTTTTCTTCTCTTTTTTTTTTTAGAGACGGTGTTCTCTCTGCTGTCTGGAGGTTGGAGGGCAGTGGTATGATCATGGCTCACTATAGCCTCAAACTCCTGGCCTCAAGTGATCCTCCCACCTCAGCCTCCCTCATAGCTGGGACTATAGGCATGCAACACCATGCCTGGCTAATATATATATATATTTTTTGAGACTGAGTCTCACACTCTATCACCCAGGCTGGAGTGAAGTGGTGCAATCTCAGCTCACTGCAACCTCCGCCTCTGGAGTTCAAGCTATTCTCATGCCTCAGCCTCCTGGGGTTGCAGACAACTGCCACCATGCCCAGCTAATTTTTGTACTTTTTAGTAGAGACAGGGTTTCACCATGTGGGCCTCAAACTGGTCAGGCTGGTCTCAAACTCCTGACCTCAAGTGACCCACCTGCCTCAGCCTCCCAAAGTATTGAGATTACAGGCATGAGCCACTGTGCCCGGCCTCACCTGGCTAATTTGAAAAAAATGTTTTTCGGGATGAGGTCTCACTATGTTGCCCAGGCTGGTCTCAAACACCTGGCCTCAAGTGATCCTCCCACCTCAGCCTCCCAAAGCACTGGGATTATAGGTATGCCCAAACTGAAATCTTATTTTCATGTGTTCAGTAAAAGCAGAAGTTTAGGGATGATAGTAAAAGGAGTTAAGAAAAAATAAGTTTTCTTACTGTGTAGTCCAGAGTGAGAGCTCTAACTGATTTACACACAGGGCTGTATGACCCCGGTGAAACCGGCAGACTGCAAATCGGACGACGTGGAAGTCTTATTAATCTATTCATCTCTTTGGTCAATCTATATCATTGTTTTACCCAAGACTAGCTATAAGGGCTGCTATGTTTTCTTCTTTTTTTAATAGAAACCAAGTCTTATTCCATTGCCCAAGCTGGAGTACAGAGGCACGATCTCAGCTCACTGCAACCTCCCCTTCCTGGGTTCAAAGGATTCTCCTGCCTCAGCCGTCCAAGTAGCTGGGATTACAGGTGCAGGCCACCACACTTGGCTGATTTTTGTATTTTTTAGTAGAGATGGGGTTTCTCCATGTTGGCAAGGCTAGTCTCGAACTCCTGACTTCAGGTGATCTGCCTACTTTGGCCTCCCAAAGTGCTGGGATTACAGGGATGAACCACTGTGCCCAGCAAGGGCTGCTATGATTTCTAACTCCTCTAGAAGCTGAGGCACCTATACTCTCTCAGTACTGTACAATCTGGGCATCCAGAAACCCTCGGCCAAGAGTCACCAAGGGTAGCCAAGTTTACAGTCAGGTTAAGAGTTTACCTCTAAACCAAACAGAACTCAGGACCGTTATTGTGAACATGTTCCTGTGCTGAGTTGCCAAGATGTTCCCTCTACCATGGAATTGTTTGTCCCTGTACTATATAGCTCCAGACTTGGAGGGTTTAGATTTTTGCTGTGTCAGTGGGCTCTTGGCTCAGAACCAGAGACCTTAAGAAGATGAGAGGTCTGTCCACGCTCACCCAGTGCATCAGTGGCAGACATGGGCTGGCATCCCAGCCACTTGAGTTCTAATTCAGGTCTTTCTCTACTGTTTTCATGTCCCTTTTGCCTGTCCTGCCACTTTCTAAAATGGCTGCTTCACCAGGGAGGACATCCTGGGGTTCTATCGGGTAGGCATCAATGACATGGGCGTGTTCACATTCATGGCTTTGGGTAAAATATCAGGAAACAGAGAATCAAGGGCGATCTGAGGGTTCTCCTTGCTGCCTGCACTTTCCAGACTTTGGAGGGAGCAATTCTGCGCTGCCCTTTTCCATTCTCACATTTTTTCTTTCTTTTTTCCCTTTCTTAATTTTTTTTTTGAGACAGTCTCACTCTGTCACCCAGGCTGGATCTGTCACCCAGGCTGGAGTGCAGCAGCGTGATCTCAGCTCACTGCAACCTCCACCTCCTAGGTTCACACGATTCTCCTGCCACAGGCATGTACACCACAACCAGCTAATTTTTGTATTTTTAGTAGACATGGTTTCACCATGTTGGCCAGGCTGGTCTCAAACTCCTGATCTCAAGTGACCCATTCACCTCGGCCACCTAAAGTTCTGGTATTACAGGTGTGAGCCACCGTGCCAGACCATTTTCACATTTTCATTATGGGTTTTGTTCTGAATAAGTGGGCTGCCAGACAAGAGTCACGATGAGGAGGAACTGATATACCCAGGCTTACTACAGGGTACCTCGGCTTCTAAAGGAGTTAGACATCATCGTGAGACTCACAGCCTTGGTTTACAAGGTACAGCTAGCCCCAAACAGACACCCACAGCCACTACTGGGTTTTCTGCAATGGTCTAAGGTCCCTCGCCTCCCTGAGGGACAGGGGCACTCTCCATTTGCTTATATATGCTTGCTGGGCTATATCCTTGCCTGAGAGAGAAGGACATCAGAGTAGGCAAAATGAAAAGGGAAAGAGTTCTAGAAGGTATCTGTCATTGTCGCATTTCCAGCATCTCACTTTTTCGCGGGTGAGACTGTCCTGTACTTTAGACCATGTGGTTGCAGTGAAGCTGACCCCATACCCTGGCGGAAGGGGGGCCATGTGAGCTAGAGGGGTGTCAGCCTGAGACTTTGATTTTTGTTTGCTTGTTTTTCTGAGATGGAGTCTCACTCCTTCATCCAGGCTGGAGTGCAGTGGCACAATCTTGGTTCACTGCAACCTCCACATCCCGGGTTCAAGCAATTCCTGTGCCTTAGCCTCCTGAGTAACTGGGGCTACAGACATGCAGCACCACGCCAGGCTAATTTCTGTATTTTTAGTAGAGATGGGGTTTCACCATGATGGTCAGGCTGGTCTCGAACTCCTGAGCTCAAGTGATCCACCCACCTTAGCCTCTCAAAGTGCTGAAATTACAGAAGTGAGCCACTACGCCCAGCAGCCTGGGACGCTGGACTACCCAGCATAAGGCACTTGCTTTCTGTTGTGGTTTCTGTCAAAAGGATGCAAACGTAGAGCTCCCAGAAGCCACTATCTAGAGAGAGCCTGAATGTGAATGAGGTCAAGCCAGAAGAAGGCCAATCAGAGTGATAGACAGATCAAGTCCAGATAACCAAGTTGAGCCCCTAGATCCAGCTGTGCCTGCAATCCAGATCTGCTCCGGGACTTTACAGTCCCATGAGGCAACACATACTTTAAAAAAAAAAACAAGGAATCCCATTTTAAGTTTGATTTCTGTCACTTGCAACCAAAAAAGCACCAACAAATAAGGAAGAAATAAAAGTGTAAGAAGAAAGGAAATGAGGAGAGATTATATTTATGGATATAGTATCTGGAAGCAGTTCAAGTCTGTCCCTGGAAATGCAGAAAGGTGATGTGTGGGAATCTGTTCCATTTTTCATATTAAGCTCAAATCATCAGAACTGTAGCTGTGCCTAATTACCGTGATTAATCTTGCCAAACTCTAAACATAAAGTGAGTGTGCATTTTCGGATGTTCAATGATACTGCAACAATCATGAAGCGAAAGAATGGTCCGTGACTGAACAAAGATGCCTTTGAAACAGAATCTTTTTCCCTGCAAATGCAGTCATGACTGGCTGAAGGAGAAAAGGTCACAAGCGATGACCCAAGTCTTACCGGGCATGGCGTGGATGAGGTCGCCGCACAGAACAAAGAATTTGGGTTTGGGGTTCAGCTTGTTGATGGCCTGGACAGCTTGCTCAGTTAGACGGATCTCCTGTCCCCATTCGTCACCACCATTGTCACAGTCCCCAGTGGACCAGGCCTTCATCAACCCAAACTGTGGGTCTGTGCCCAGGATGAAGTAGAATGGGCCTTTCCATTCCCCTTCCTTTTCTTTAAAAAAAAAAAAAAAAAGGGGGAGAGAGGAAGAAGGAGAAATGTTATAAAATCTGTTATAAAATGCAACCAGGTCACCATGCAAGTGGATATACTATTTTTCTTAAACTAAGTAGGTCATTTTAATAAGCTGCTGTTCACACATACCATTTTCCTGTCATAGTCTAGAGGTTTTGATTTATACTAATTACGCCTGGGACGTGGTGATACCCAAAGGCCAGGACTGTCCACGTGGGCTTCTGCAGCCATACAATCTAGCCATTTGTTGACAAGCTAGGCGGCCAAAAGGAAGCACGAAGCCACAACAGAACACTGCGCAGAGGATATTCGTGCTCAATAATCGTCTTTAAATTAGAATACAACACCCAAAATTGAATACTGCCAGAAGTATTATATTTAAATTACTAGGTGAAGTGCTTACAAATCTTTACTGAGAGGCTTCGTGGCATCACATCACTTCCACCATTTCGGGGGATGTGACAGAATTTTAATTATAAAACTTGGCGCTCAGAAGCTCTGGCTATCTGGTGGGAGATGTGGTGCCAGAAATGAAATCCTGAAATGAGTAAGTCAATGTGGGAAAAAAAAAAAAAAAAAAGAGAAGAAACAAAAATCGATGCTAACATTTCAAAGGCAGTAGGATGTGGGCAGCCGTGAGGTGTGAGGCTGGGGGTGGGGACTCTTTATGTTCCTGGAAAGGGATCTAGGCCACCTGAAATCATTCTGCTTGCTCTTCCATTGGCTCTGCGGGGCCAAAGCTTTGTGGGCCTTGGGTTTCTACTCTTATCTGCCAGAACTGCCACTGGTGCCTGCTTAGGCAGAGCTGGAATGGCCATTAATGGGCACAGAAGCGCTGTTGATTTCACTTGCTTAAAAAATTATTTGGCCACAGAATCCTTTCTCTAATCAAAATCACACATGGCAGACCAATGTTGAAAAAACATGCCAAGCAAAGCCGCTTGCTCTTACAGAATAGCACCTGTAACTTCTGGTGCCAGAGACAGATCTGGTGCTGGACACAGCACAGTGTGACGACCTCCAATCTGCGGCCCCCCCTCGTTTATCCTCTGAGAAAAGTGAGGTCTAGAGAGGCGACAGAACCTGCTGAATGACCCGCTAGCACTTAGTCGCAGGGACAGAGCTACCCTGTCATCCTGAGGCTATTTTTTTTCCTTTTTCATAATGTAATGTATGGCCAGGCGTGGTGGCTCATGCCTGTAATCCCAGTACTTTGGGAGGCCAAGGTGGGTGATCACCTAAGGTCAGGGGTCTGAGATCAGCCTGGGCAACATGATGAAACCCCGTCTCTACCAAAAATACAAAAATTAGCTAGGCGTGATGGTGAGCACCTGCAATCCCAGCTACTCGAGAGGCTGAGGCACAAGAATCGCTTGAATCTAGGAGGTGAAGGTTGCAGTGAGCTGAGACTGCGTCACTGCACTCTAGCCTGGGCGACATAATGAAACTCTATCTCTTTTTTTTTTTTTTTTTTGAGACGGAGTTTCGCTCTTGTTACCCAGGCTGGAGTGCAATGGCGCGATCTCGGCTCATCGCAACCTCCACCTCCTGGGTTCAGGCAATTCTCCTGCCTTAGCCTCCTGAGTAGCTGGGATTACAGGCACACGCCACCATGCCCAGCTAATTTTTTGTATTTTTTAGTAGAGACGGGGTTTCACCTGTTGACCAGGATGGTCTCGATCTTTTGACCTTGTGATCCACCCCCCTCGGCCTCCCAAAGTGCTGGGATTACAGGCGTGAGCCACCGCGCCCGGCCCGAGACTCTATCTCAATAATGATAATTATAATTATTTAATGTACAATCCATGTTAACTGAATAAATGGCATTTTCTTTGGAAGTCATGATGATACTGTAATTTCCAAAAAGCTCTTTGAAATCACTTCATGTCCATGTGTTTGATTCATTTGTCTATTGGGTAAGTATCATACAGGGAGCCTTTGGTTTGCCAGGCCCTATGAGAGGTGCTGACAATATGAGGGTGACTAAGACGGATGAGTCCCTGCACTCAGTGCTCATAGGGGGAGAAAACCTAGTAAACAAGCAGGGAATAGACTCAGAGACTGTTAATGACTATGCAGATGAAGAGTGAGCCAATGGTTAGTTTAAATTAGACAGACAGGGCCAGGTGTGGTGGCTCATGCCTGTAATCCCAGCACTTTGGGAGGCCGGAGCGGGCAGATCACTTGAGGTCAGGAATTTGAGACCAGCCTGCGCCAACATGGTGAAACCCGTCTCTACTAAAAATACAAAAATTTGCCAGACGTGGTGGTGCACACCAGTAGTTCTGGCTACTTGGGAGGCTGAGGTGAGAGGAATGCTTTAACCCAGGAGGTGGAGATTGCAGTGAGCTGATATCATGCCACTGCACTCCAGCCTGGGTGACAGAGAGATTCCACCTCAAAACTAAATAAAAATAAATAAGACAGGAAAGGCCTCTCTGAAGTGGTGATATTTAAGCTGAGATCTAAATGGCAAGGAAGGGCCAGTGAAAACCTTTTTAAATTCTATGGCCACTTTCCACCCATCATACTGAGCTTACTATCACCTTAGAGTGGACTCTGGCTTCAAGGCTCCTTTCCCTTCTTAATTCCTTTGTCAGGGTTAAAGAAAAAAAAACTGGCCAGGTACAGTGGCTCACGCCTGTAATTCCAGAATTTTGAGAGGGTAAGGCAGGTGAATCACCTGAGGTCAGGAGTTTGAGGCCAGCCTGGCCAACATGGTGAAACCCCATCTCTACTAAAAAATATAAAAATTAACTTGGCATAGTGGTGGGCACCTGTAATCCCAGCTACTCAGGAGGCAGAGGCAGGCAAATTGCTTGAACCCAGGAGGTAGAGGTTGCAGTTTGTGGAGATGTCGCCACTGCACTCCAGCCAGCAAGACTCAGTCTCAATAACAAGAAAAAAAGAAGTGAATAAACAAAAATGCCTCTCCGCACTTTAGAGAAAAAATTGTAAATACACATAAACCCACCAGCCCTCGACTTAGAGCACAGTGTTCAATCACATCACAACCAGCTGGAACTCAATCTGAACAAGGGCTGCATGAAACCCTGGTGTGTGCATCTCATGAGAAAGACAGCAATATGGCATATCCAGCAGGGACTAAGGAAGTCGACTGTCATTCACTGAGCACTGATTGTGTGTGACAGAAAGACTCTAAGATCCCCCCAAATCCCTGCCCCCGATATTCACATCCCTTTGCAACACACTCCCTGTGTGCTGCAACCTACTTCTAATAAATGGAATACAGTGATGGGAGTCCCTTCTGAGTGGGCTAAAAGAAGACCATGACTTTCATTTCTTTCTCTCTCTCTCTCTTTCTCTGAGTCCTTGCTCTGGAGATTAAAAGGGGTCATCTTGTGACTATCCCTAGAGAGGCCAGTGTTAAACAAAATGCCTCTCCACTTAGAAAGGAACCCTCTTGCTAACAGCTCATGAGGAACCAATCCTGCCAACAACCACCTGAGTCAGCTCAGAAGAGGATACACCTCTGGCAAGCTTTCAGATGAGACCATAGCCCCAACAGATACCTTGATTGAAGCCTTATGAGACTCTGTGGCAGAAGAACCTAGCTCAGCTGTACCCCAATTTCTGACAAAATCCTGTGACATGATACATGTTTGCTTTATAAGCCATGAAGTTTCAGGGTAATTTGTTACACAGTAATAGATCCCTGTGAATGAGGCATTAGAGATAAGCGGTCAAGAAGTAGACAAGATTTCCTAAAGATCTGAAAGTTGTGTCATGAAAGAAAACTGAGATTCTGCTTTGTGTCTTAACATTATTAATCATTTATTTTGCTTGCATAACCTTTTTACACCAACGAACGCTTCTAGCTGTGTTTGTTTCCGAGCTGTATGCAGAGCCATTTAAGCTGGATGAATTAATCAGAACCAAAAAAGGGAGGTGATCGCCAGCACCCCAAGGTAGCAGCATACATCAGTCTTTTATAAAGGAGTTTATAAACAGCTCCCTACAGCAAAAATTTCAGCAAATCGTTTCCTATGACAAATAGTCAGAATTTCAAAAAGTCAATAGTCCTTGGAGCTATTAAAATAAATCTTTCATTATTACTTGTTTACTTACTAAAAACTTTAGAATCTCAATTTTATGATGACAAGATACAAAATAAATAGATCTGACCTAAAATAAATGACAACTCCCATATAAGTATTCAATATACCTTCCCTATCTAATGAGGTATTTTTTTACTCAGGAATCTTCATTCTCAAAAGGAACTGGATGATCTTAAGGTTCCTGCTACAGAAGCTGGTGATTTTTGGTCTCATCACAATTTCTTTTCATCAAGGCTGAATTAAAGATATCTGGAGCTTACAATGCATAGTTCTAGAAGGAGAAATCTTTTGTAAATGTATATCTCTCCATTCCTTAAAAAGGCAACTTTTTACATTATGTAAGTGAATTGGTTTTTTTTAAATTTATTTATTTTTATTATTTATTTATTTATTTTCTTTGAGACGGAGTTTCGCTCTTGTTACCCAGGCTGGAGTGCAATGGTGCGATCTTGGCTCACCGCAACCTCCACCTCCTGGGTTCAGGCAATTCTCCTGCCTCAGCCTCCTGAGTAGCTGGAATTACAGGCACGCGCCACCATGCCCAGCTAACTTTTTGTATCTTTAGTAGAGACGGGGTTTCACCATGTTGACCAGGATGGTCTCGATCTCTTGACCTCATGATCCAACCACCTTGGCCTCCCAAAGTGCTGGGATTACAGGCTTGAGCCACCGCGCCTGGCCTTTTTAAATTTATTTTTACAGATGGGGTCTTGCTTTGTTACCCAAGCTAGAGTACAGTGGCACAATCATGGCTCCCTGCAGCCTTGACCTCCCATATTCAAGTGATCCTCCTGCCTCAGCCTTCCAAAGTTCCGGGATTACAGGCATGAGCCACCATACCCAGACAAAAGTGATTTTTTTTTTTAGATGAAGTTTCCCTCTGTCACCCAGGCTGGAGTG